GTATCGGTCAGTTGTGTCGACCTCCAATGACCGAAATTTATCTGTATCGGTCATCAGTGATCGACACACATGACCGAAATTATAACGGTGTGTTTGTGTCGACCACATCAGACCGATACTGGTGATCGATACTGCTCCATTTCGGTCACCAGAGACCGAAAATTCCAGGCTCTGACCGAAAACTTCTGCAGAGATCTTCTGCTTTGATCCTTCTTGCTCCCTTTTGTCCAGCTAGCCTCCTGGATCATTCCCAAAGCTCCTCCAAGCTCTTTTAAGCTCCAAAAGCACCTAAAAACATCCAATATGCAAGGAAAATGCAATCTAAACTCCTAATGAAACCTAAGTCTAAAAGGAGAAGAAAATGGGACAAAAGCTAAGGGAAAATATGCAAAAGAGGACCAAAACATGCACTAAATGCAGCCTTAAATGGTGTAAATACAAGGGATATCATAAGCTCATCCGAGTCTTATATCATCTGGTATCAGAGCCAAAGGTTCCTACCTTTGGTTTTTCTATCCCTTTGCTTTATAGATCCGTTTGATAGTCGTAGTTATTCCATTGTTTGCTTGTGTTTCTTTGCTTTGCTTATTTAAAAACCCATAACAATCATTTGCTTATTCTTATTCAACTCTTTTGTTTTAAAGTTCTAAAAAAAGAAAACCCCAAAAATATTAGATCCGATTTGCTTATTTCTTTCTCTTGTTTTGAATCTTAAAACATCTTTCATAAAAAAACTCATAAAAAGTTTTCTTTGTGTTTCACGCGTTGCTAGTCCTGCCTATTGATCCATTTGTTGATTCTCTAGTCAAGTAATAGTTCTAGTAAGCTTTGTGTTCGTTGGTACCGTGACCGTTTGTTAAGTGTTTACAAGGTACATCATTTAGCAACACCATGATATATCAACTCCCCCAGACTTAGCTTTCCTGATGGTCCTTTCCAACATAGCTAGCTCGTCAATGCCTAAAGTCACAAGCTCCTTCTCTTTGTTACTTCTGGTACTGCGATAAGGCATACACCTGAAACCAGCACAAAGAAAAGTAGCAGAAAGTTAGTAAACAAATAAAAACATAGACAAAATCCTAATACTAAAAATCGATAGGCAGCTATTACTCCCCGGCAACGGCGCCAAAAACTTGATAAGGCTCTGGTTTTACCCAAATAAAACTACTGCAAGTGCACAGCAAAGCAGTTATAGTATAAGGGGTTATCGAATCCCAAGGAAGTAAGTAAACTACACTAGCAATTATAGATTTGGACCAGGCTAAGCTGTAGATAATAAATGTAATGTGAAATAACTAAAACAATGAAAGTAGGCGATTATTGATTGATCTCAGATTCAGAAAACTAAAAGCGCTAAGTCATGTTAATTCGCAGGTTGAATCCGAGAATGTAGAATGCATGCAAGCAGGAAAGATTTAAAACGTCTTGAACTCAAAACTCAATGATATAACTAATCAATTCTCATTGCAGAAGTTACCTATGCCTAATTCACAGAAATTAAAATCTCTTTGCAAATTCTAACAAGTTAAGCAAGCATTAAAGATCAGGTTTCGATTGTTCACAAAACTCCTAAGTCAAATCTCTTTGCAAGTAGGCGTTTTGCTCATCTAATACTAGTTCAGGTGATTAACAATGTTCTCACATCTATTAAACAACCTATAGTATTTCGAATTTCCAGATGACTAGACAAAGAAATCGGTTTGAATGCAAGCACATATGAAGAACCAAAAGATATTCCTAACAGTTTAACGATTCTACAAACTCTTCATCAACCTTTGAAAAGCCTCAACTTAACTAACAGATTACTCAGACATGATCATGGAAACACAAAACATAACTGAATAAAACTGCATTAAAAGAAATAGAGTAAAAGCTAAAGGGGTTCGAAATCTTCTCAAAAAGAGTACGAGATCTGTCTCCGCAAAAGCTCTGAATAAATCTCTCTCTAAAGCTCTCTGAATTCTAAATTCTAAGATCAAAGCCAACAATGGCTGAAAACCTAATATATACAAGCTAAAACACGAGCTGGAACACTTTTGTAATCAGTGAAACTTCTGGGGCAAAGTTGCAATTTCCTCTCCATCTTTTAAAACCAGTCGCGACTCCTCTTCAGATACGGGTGACGAGCGTCACCCTTGAGTGGTGACGATCGTCACCAAAGCCAATTGATGCCTCCGAGTTGCTAACTTCGTGGTTGATTCTAGCAATGCTCCAAAAAGCTGAAAAACCTCCAATTATGCTCCAGCCATGCTATAACCTGCAAAGACTCTACTAGGACTCTAAAAAAAAGCAAAAAGACTCAATAAAAATGACTTATTTTATGGTTAAAAACCATGATATATCACTATGCATACTGTCCAGCTTAGCCTTAACCTCAGCCATCTGGTTTCCATTATTCAAAGTAGCCTGTTTCATCCTCTGAAAGTCAGTATTCTTGGTGTTGTTACTGCATGCCAAGTTCTCAATCAGAGTTATTGCAGCTTCTGGATGGTTGGTGTTGAAGTTTCCACTACTAGCAGCATCTAACGCCATCTGATACTTCCAGTCCACTCCTCTGAAGAAAATTCCAAGCAGTTGCACCTGATTGAAACCATGATGAGGACAGTCTCTCTGATAAGACTTAAATCTCAACCAGGAAGCTTTAAAAGCTTCAGTAGTACCTTGGGAGAATGAAGAAATTTTCGTCCTCAAGTCTTCTGATCTAGCATCATCATAAAAGTTGTTCACAAAGGCATTTTTGGTGTCTTCCCAAGTGGTCAGCGATCCAGGCTCCAGTTGCTTCTACCAATAAGTTGCATCTCCTCCAAGAGAGTAAGGAAACAGCTTGCAGAACAGGAAATCATTGCTAACTCCACTAGCCTTGACACTTGAAGCCGAATCCTCAAATCTCTCTATGTGATCCATAGGATGCTCATATGGTAGGCCATGAAAGGGATGTTGACCCACAAGCTGAAAATAAGCAGGCTTGAGCTCAAAATCGTTTCTCTGGAAAGCACGAGAGCGAATTGCAGCTCTGTTGGCATAAAATTGGTTAGGTCTGTTGTAATCTCCTAAATTCCTCTAACAAAATGCCCAACAGTGTTTCTAGCAGCGATTCCAGCGTCATTAGCCACTTGTTGAACCACATGTTCAACTATGACAATCCCATTTTGATCCAGTCTCTGCCCTTCTTCATTCCTCCTATTTCCATCTCTGTCAACCAAGTGACCCTCTGCATCCTCGACCAAGACAAGTGGAGAAACCATTGTAGATTGTTTCTTAGCTTTCCTGATGGTCCTTCCAACTTAGCTAGTTCGTCAATTCCCAAAGTCACAAGCTCCTTCTCTTTGTTGCTTCTAGTACTTCGATTAGGCATACACCTGAAACCACAAAGAAAAGTAGCAAAAGTTAGTAAACAAATAAAAACTTAAACAAAATCCTAATACTAAAAATCGATAGGCAGCTATTACTCCCCGGCAACGGCACTAAAAACTTGATAGGGCTCAGGTTTTACCCAATTAATTTACTACTGCAAGTGCACAGTAAAGCAGTTGTAGCATAAAAGGTTATCGAATCCTAAGAGAGTAAGTTAACTACACAATAGTGTTCAGGTTCGGATTAAGCTAAGCAGTAAATAATGAATGTAAAGCGATATAACTTAAGTAATGAAAGCAGGCGAAATTTGTTGATTGATCTGAGTTCAGAAAGCTAAAGGAGCTAAACTAGGATAATTCGCAGGTTGAATCCGAGAAAGTAGAATGCATGCAAGCAGGAATGAATTAAAACCGTCATAAACTCAAAACTCAATTATATAACTAATCAATTCTCATTAAAGAAGTTATCTATGCCTAATTCACATATTCCAAATCTCTTTGCAAATTCTAACAAGTTAAGCAAGCATAAAGATCAGGTTTCGATTGTTCACAGAACTCCTAAGTCAAATCTCTTTGCAAGTAGGCGTTTTGCTCATCTAATACTAGTTCAGGTGATTAACAATGTTCTCACATCAATTAAACAACCCAGGGTTTCGAAATCTAGATGATTAGTCTCAGAAATCGATATGAATGCAAGCACAGATGAAGAACCAATGGATTTTCCTAATAGTTTTGGAATTCTACAAACTCTTCATCAATCTTTGAAAAACCCTAACTTAACTAACAAATTACTCAGATGTGATTATGAAACACAAAGCATAGCTGAATAAAACTGCATTAAAAGAATAGAGTATAAGATAAAGGGGTATGAAATCTTCTCTAAAAGAGTACATGATCTGTCTCCCCAAAAGCTCTGAATAAATCTCTCTCTAAAGCTCTCTGAATTCTAAGATACAAGATAAAAGCCAACCCTGGCTGAAAAACCTAATATACAAGCTAAAAGCCAACCGTGGGTAGATCTAGATGGGTTTTCCCTGGATCTGTTTGCTAGATATGTTTCTTCCAATGGCTTGCTATATGGGCTTGCTGGCGTGTCTTCCCTCTGCTTCTTTGGAGACTGGTTTGGGTTCTCTTCAGTTCGAGCTTGCATCGATCCTTAGTGTTTGGTGTTATCCGGGGTGAACCATTTGCTCCCTAGCGCTTCCTTACTGATCTGTTCAAGATCTCTTCTCAAGCTTCTATCTAGGTGTGTTTTAGTCGTGCCTTTGGATGGTATTTCGAGTCCACCGTTCCCTGGAGATCCCTGGTTTATGTCTTGTCGGGTACAAAGCTTTGATTTTCTAGACTCGAAGGTAGGCTTTGTAGAGGAATTTGTTTATCGTTGGTGAGGTCAGGAACCTGTTCGGTAATTCTTGTGTTCAGAGCAGGGTCGTCTTTTTAGCACGTGCAAGTAGAGCAATCAAATAGGGTCACGTATTTAGACTTTAGAGAAAAATTTCAACTAGATGAATAAATTAGGGCCAATTATTTTTTCAAATTTCTTTCTATCATATTAAACCTGCCCAGTGCTCAGTAATACAAAATTTGAACAGAGCCTACAAATAGAAAGAACAAGTCTCAATTATCTTCAAGAAGTTGATCAAGTTTATGTTTTCCTCTGCTGTACCACTTACTGTTTATTTGATATCTGCAGGTTTAGCTTCTCGACCATGTTTTTCGCCCATAGTACGTGAAATTAAAAAGAAGAGGAAACTTACCATCTTCACTTATGATTTCTTGCTTTGACTGACACAAAGCCGTTGCCCTTTGGTTTTGGCAGGAGAGAACACAGTTAGTACACTTGGGCGGCTGGTTCTGATCATATGGCTATTCGTTGTACTAATAATAAACTCGAGTTACACGGCTAGTCTCACATCAATCCTCACGGTTCAGCAGCTTTCCTCACCCATCAAGGGAATCGACAGCCTTAGAGAAATGGATGAACGGATCGGGTACCAGGTGGGTTCGTTTGCAGAGCGTTATTTGAGGGATGAGCTCAACATATCAGAGTCGCGGCTCCTCGCACTTGGATCACCTGAAGCATATGCCAAGGCTTTAAAAGATGGACCAAACAAAGGAGGCGTTGCTGCAATTGTTGACGAGCGTCCCTACGTCGAACTCTTCCTCTCCAGCAATTGCGCGTATAGGATCATCGGTCAGGAGTTCACCAAAAGTGGCTGGGGATTTGTAAGTCTTCATATATCCCAAAATTTCCGAACCCGAACCGAAATTCCCGAGCCCTGAACCCAAACCCAAACCGAACTATCCGATCTAAAACCAAACCAACCCAATTTTTTAAAACTAAACCGATTAACCACAATATAATTAAAGAGTTAATTAGTATATTGAAAAATATATCCAAGTATATTAAATTCCCTGTTTTGACTTTATTTTAATTTTTTTTCTAAAGTTCAACCACAGTTAATTATTTTGGGGGTTTTATTATAATTTTATTCTTTCTAAAACTGAATCAAGCGAAGCAAACATATAACTTGATTGCAAATGAGATTTATAATCTAAAACTTGAAAACATGAAATCCAAACGAACTGGATTGAACTATAGTTTAATCCCGAACTGAATAGAGCTAGAAAATTAATACTTAAATAATCGAAATCGAACTGAGGCGAATTTAATGATTTGAGCTAAGGGGCAGGTGGGCATTTTTGTTTGGTATGGTTCGGTTTGGTTATTAGTTTGTTCGGTTTTGTTAAACATAAAGAATTGTTACTACATTCTGTTTTAATAATTTTGGTTCGATACGGTTAATTTTTATGCTCATTTAGTTTCAATGGTTTTTTCTTTCTTAGGCATTTCCTAGAGACTCTCCACTAGCAATAGATTTGTCAACAGCGATCTTGGGGCTAGCAGAGAACGGAGATCTGCAGAGGATCCACGATAAGTGGCTAATGAAGAACGCGTGCACTCTAGAGAACGCGGAGCTTGAATCAGACAGGCTTCATCTGAAAAGTTTCTGGGGGCTTTTTCTCATATGTGGAGTTGCTTGCGTCCTCGCTCTCTTCCTCTACTTTATACAGATCATCCGTCAACTCTATAATGGAAAGCCAAACGAGGATGATGATGCCATTGGGAAAGAGAATCATGACTCATCCTCCTTGCGTTCTACACGTCTTCAGAGATTCTTGTCGCTCATGGATGAGAAAGAAGATATGTCTAAGGCGGGAAGCAAGAAGAGAAAGATTGATGGATCAGTAAACGATACTTCGGGGTCGAGACATTCACGAGGATTTGACAGAGAAAGAAGCCTTTATTCGGTAAACCCATTAGATTGAAAGTGTACTTACAGAGACGTATAGTGATTGTTTTCTATGACATCAACACTGATTATAATTTCAAAGTTTACCCAAGTTATATGTATTCCTTGATTCTGTAATCTTAAACTTAGGAGTTTTTGAGTCCTTTAAAAGAAGTATTGACGAGTTCACATAAAAAACAAGAAAAGCGACGCATTATGCCATGTTTATTCAATAACTGATAATATAAAACGATCTTTTTTTTTTGGTTGAAACCGAGAGACAAAGGTCACTCAAGTGTCATAAAAGAAAATTACAAACGGACGGATCGTACTCTCGTATCCCCAGCCACATCTGCTAAAACAACTGAACCCACACTCTCTGGTGCTACATCTGAATAAAGAAAAACCCAATGGTAATGAAAAAGCATAGGTTGCCAAACTATCAGCTAAACAATTTGCCTCCTTATAGATATGTTTAATCCGAACTACTTAATCCCTTGAGATAAAGTCATAGCACAAATGTACTAGGAAAGACAGAAGATGTTGATCACTTATCCCTGTCATCAAAAAACCAACAACAATTTCCGAGTCTATCTCGATCTCCAATCGAGTTATGCGCTGTTCTCAGGCTATATATAATCCGTAATATACTCCCCAGAGTTCAGCCAAGGGAACAGAACAAATACCTATATTCAGGGCGAAACCTCCACACCAATCTCCATGTTCATCACGCAGTACTCCTCCAGCGGTTGCAAAGCCCGTGTTTCCCTGAACCACACCATCCGTGTTCAGCTTGATCCACCCGTGGGGTGGTGGAACCCATGCTATCTCAATCTGTTCCCTCTGCACATTGTTTGTATTTCCTCTCATCTTCGCGTGAGCTGTGGTCACATCGTTTGCTAGCTCCTTTAGAAAACGTACTCTGTCTCGGCACACCCCAGTTGATCCAAACACATTCCCACATCGCCACTTCCATCCCCACCATACAGCCATCGCAAACACCGTAGCCCAGCTACTACTCCCCAACATTTCTGTATCCTCGAGGTTACCGTGAATCCATTCAAACAGTGTCATGTTAAAGAAAACATGCTGCTTTCTCAATGGGACTATACGCTGCCAGATTCCTGCAATTGCAGGGCAGTCTCGAAGCACGTGCATTATAGATTCCTCCTGATGAGGACATCTCAACCGAACCTGACTTAACCGAACCTGACATGCAAGAAGTGGATATACCGGTTCCAAACAAGGGTGTTATCACAAGACAACGGGCTCGTGCGCTTCAAGACAAGTATAACCAAGCTATTTTACAAGCCATGTCCGAGTCTAATCAAGAAAGCCCATCAAAAGCTGCATGGAACGTTACAAGGGATATCTTAGAAGCTGCAGACCCAACAAAGGTACAAGAAAGCTGGCCCTTAATATCAAACAAAGCCCACGCCAATATCTTTGTTATCTCTACATTTGAGAAGCACACTTAGAAATCAAGGATCACGGTCAAAGGGCGACTACATTGCACTTATTCACGCCTAGACAAAAGAAAGTAAGTCTTTGTTTCGATTAATTCATATTATTACTATTGATTAACCTTTTATGTTTTCTCCTTGTGATTGATTTCTAGCCAGCCAATGATTTATTTTCTTTTAATTAGTTAAGGCATTGTTAGCCAATAATATCGCATTTTTCATTCCAATAATGTTGCTTTTCAATAAGTGTAATTTGCTTCAAGTCCCCTAGAAGGGCAAAGCTGTTCAGACCACCTTATAAGGTCCCCTCTTACAGCCGTGTATCTTTACCTTGATTTTAATAAAGAACCGAATTATCTTTCACAAAGTTTGCAATCAAAACTTGTGTTATTCTTCTTTGAATTTTGTTAAGACCAGCCCTCCAAAACCAAAGAGAAACTGTGTTGTATCAAAGGTCCTCTCATCACCTTTGTGGTACACTTTGATCCACCGGCCATCCCATTTGGTCAGTCATATCATACCACCGTACCAGTCCATCGTCACGCCCTCGTACCACTATCGTCCCACATTACGACGCCATCGTCCCGCATTACGATACCCTCATCACGCGTCGTACCAGCCGTCCCACTCATTACGTCCTACTCGTACCGTCCCTCATCTCGCCTCGTACTGACCATCACATTCTCATCCCATCCCCAAACCCTTGACTCCCTAGTCTGAGTTCCTCGGCTGTCTGGTCAAGTTCTCGTCCCATTCCTTAAAACCATCTGGTGCTTGTATCATTTTTGGTATCAGAGCTGAAGTTCCTTCAGCAGGTTATATCTTTCCATCCTATCATCTTTTCTTTTTGCAGTTTTAATCTTGCTATCATCTATTATCAACAAAAAAAAAAAAATTAAGCCATTTATCAAACTTTACATTTTTCTTTCTTTATTCGTGATTGCATCTTTGTTATAAAAAAAAGAGAAAAATATTTTCATTCATTCTGGATTTCTCAAAATAGTTTTGATCTCCTTAAATTGCTTACCTTTCATTGTTTCATTCACAAAAGTAAAAAAAAATTAGGACCGGAATTTTATCAATTCTATTTTTTTCATTATAGTTTCCATTTCTGTTCTATATTATCATCATCTCATTGTGTTTAGTTGATACGAATTTGACTTCATAATAGTATCAATAAATCGCATATTCTCAAACATCTACTTTAAAACCCTTTTTGCTTTTGGTTTAAGGTACTTGATCAGAAGCAGTGGGAGAAGAGTCCAGTAATGCTCAAGACCCCACCACTCTGATGATAGCCATGATGAGAGAAGAGTTTCGAGCTTTTAGACAAGAGATCGGCGACCGTCTTACTCGTGTGGAACAAGCTCCACGACCCCCTATACAGCCGGTCCGGAACGTAGGTGGTCGAGGGCACAACACTGTCTTTGGCAATACACAAAATACCGGCCACAACAATAGTCGTAATGGCATACACATCAACGAACCAAACAGAGATGCACAAGGTGATGACCATAATTCACAAGACGGTGATGATGACCCGCCTTTACCCATTAACCATGGGAGGAGAAGGCGTACACCGAGGAATGAATATGGAGATGAGGAAGATGACAACTACCCCCAGCGACAACACCAGAGCCACATCAAGCTTACCGCACCAAGCTTTGCTGGAAAGGTGGACCCGGAGGCTTATCTTGAGTGGGAAAAGAGGATGGACCACCTCTTTGATTATTATGATCACCCTAACCACAAGAGAATAGCCTTAGCCATTGCTCAACTAACGGACAATGCCCTCATCTGGTGGGACAGAACCATAGCTGACCGGAGGAGAAACCGTCAAAGAGCCATTGACTCATGGCTAGACATGAAAGACACCATGCGCCAAAGGTAAATTCCTCCCCATTTCAATAGAGACTTACAACGCAAGTTTCATGCTCTTAAACAGGGAACTAGGTCAGTAGAAGAGTACTATGAAGAGTTCGAGCGCTTGAGGAATCGCTTAGAGCTTCATGATGATGAGGAAGCTTTGATGGCACAATTCATAGACGGGTTGCAAGAGCGAATCAGCCAAAAAGTAGAGAGACAAGTCTATCAAGATTTCAAAGACCTCTTTCACTTAGCTATACAAGTGGAGCAACACATCAAACGAAAGACCAGTACCATTCGGAGCAAACCTCAAACGCCGTGGAACCCCAACACCAACAAACCATTAGACAAAGGAAAAGGGATTGAGGTAGACTCGCAATACAAAGGGAAAGGCTTAGATATCACCAAAGACAACCGCCCTGAAGCAGGTAAGTCTACTAACCCTCAACGTTCAAGGGATATAACGTGTTTTAAGTGTAGAGGCAGGGGGCATATGGCGAGAGAATGCCCAAATCAGCGTGTCATGCTCTTAACCGAGACCGGAGAATATGAGTCTCAAGACGAAGCAGAAGCTGAGCCACTTGCCGAGTTTGGAGATATTGAGTACCCTGACTCAGGAGAGCTTCTCGTTACAAGGCGTATACATAGCACAATGGTGGAACCAGCCGAGCTGATGCAAAGAGAAAACATCTTCCACACACGCTGTACCGTACAAGGCAAGGTATGTAACCTAATCATTGATGGTGGGTCTTGCACTAACGTGGCAAGCACTCATATGGTTGATAAACTACACCTTGAGAGAACTAAATACCCACGGCCCTATAGGCTAAGGTGGCTCGATGACAAGGTTGAAATGAAAATCAATGAACAAGTTATCATACCATACAGTATAGGAAAATATCAAGATAGTGTTGTTTGTGATATAGTCCCTATGCAAGCCGGCCATATACTATTAGGTAGGCCATGGCAATTTGGTAAAGAGACTAAGCATGATGATAGAACTAATTTTTATACATTTATGCATGATAAAAGAAAGATTAGCTTAGCACCTTTATCACCATCTCAAGTGCATGATTTACAAGTGCAAATGGCTAAAGAAAAAGAAATTAGTTCTAAGTCTAATTTTCTTATTCAGCCTAGCCATGTGAGAAAGACTATAGCTTCTAAACACACAATGCTACTAATGATCTTTAAGGAGGCTTTAAGCGCAGGTTATGGAGCATCCGAGTTACCACCCGAGATCATTAAGTTACTTGACACCTTTAAAGATGTGTTTCCAGAAGAGATGCCTGAAGGGTTACCACCTCTACGAGGGATTGAACACCAGATAGACTTTGTTCCCGGTGCTGCGCTACCCAACAAGCCAGCTTACAGTATGAGCCCGGAGGAGTCTAAAGAGCTTGAGAAGCAAGTCCAAGAGTTACTAGACAAAGGCTACGTGAGAGAAAGCCTTAGCCCATGTGTCGTACCAGTCTTACTCGTACCAAAGAAGGACGGTTCTTGGCGGATGTGCGTTGATTGTAGAGCCATCAACAACATCACCATCAAATACCGCCATCCCATACCAAGGTTAGATGATATGCTTGATGAGCTTAGTGGTTCTGTTTTGTTCTCTAAAATAGATTTAAAGAGCGGATACCACCAAGTGAGGATGAAAGAAGGAGATGAATGGAAGACTGCCTTCAAAACCAAGCAAGGACTATACGAATGGTTGGTAATGCCGTTTGGACTCACCAATGCTCCTAGTACTTTCATGCGCCTCATGAATCAAGTGCTTAGAGCATATATCAGTAAGTTTGTTGTTGTATACTTTGATGATATTTTAATTTACAGCAAAAGCTTAACTGAACATATGACATATCTTGAGCTTGTTTTAAACTCTTAGACAAGAGGGGCTTTATGCAAACTTAAAGAAGTGTTCCTTCTGCACTAATCAACTAGTTTTCCTAGGTTTTATTGTAAGCTCGCAGGGATTACGGGTTGATAAGGAGAAAGTTAAAGCTATTCAGGAATGGCCAGCACCAACAAACGTTAGTAAAGTGAGAAGCTTCCACGGTTTGGCTAGTTTTTACCGGAGGTTTGTTAAAGATTTCAGCAGCATAGTAGCTCCTCTCTCAGAAGTAGTTAAGAAGAGTGTTGGTTTTACATGGGGAGAAGCACAACAACAAGCCTTTGACACCTTGAAAGACCGGCTAACCAATGCACCTGTACTGATCTTACCTGATTTCAACAAGACATTTGAAGTGGAGTGTGATGCCTCGTGAATAGGCATAGGAGCAGTACTAACTCAAGAAAAGAAGCCAGTAGCATTCTTCAGCGAGAAACTAGGAGGAGCTACACTCAACTATGCTACTTATGACTAGGAGTTATACGCTCTTGTGAGAGCTTTGGAGACTTGGCAACACTACCTGATTTCAAGAGAGTTCGTAGTCCACACTGATCATGAGACGTTGAAGCATCTTAGAGGACAAACTCACCTTAAGAGAAGACATGCTCGTTGGATGGAGTTCATAGAAACCTTTCCCTACAGTATCAAGTAAAAGAAGGGAAAAGAAAACATTGTAGCGAATGCTTTATCACGGAGATACGCCTTAATATCAACAATGGAGAGCAAAGTCATGGGGTTTGAGTTTATCAAAGAGCTTTACCATGATGACAAAGATCTTATGGAGATACTTGGCGAGTGCAACAAAGGAGCATTTGGAAAATTCTACATCTTTGAGGGGTTTTTGTTTAGAGAGAAGTGGTTGTGCATCCCTCAATGCTCATTACGAGAGCTTATTGTGCGTGAAGCCCATAGAGGAGGGCTAATGGGGCACTTTGGGGTTGATAAAACCTTAGCCGTGGTCAAAGAGCATTTCTATTGGCCACACTTGAAGAAGATGGTGGAAGCTCATTGTTCTGGATGTGTTGTTTGCAAGAAAGCCAAGTCCAGAGTTCAACCTCACGGCTTATACTTACCTTTACCCATTCCTACAGCACCATAGGTAGATATATCAATGGACTTCGTGCTAGGATTGCCCAAGAGAAACCACAAAGACTCTATATTTGTGGTGGTGGATAGATTCTCCAAAATGGCGTACTTCATCCCTTGTGCTAAAGTGAACGATGCAACCCAAACGGCGGATCTATTCTTCAAAGAAGTAGTACGGCTACATGGAGTTCCAAGAACAATAGTTTCAGACCGAGACAGCAAATTCTTAAGTCACTTCTGGAGAACCTTGTGGAGGAAGTTAGGGACTAAACTCCTTTTCTCTACCACTTGTCACCCACAAACGAATGGCCAAACGGAGGTTGTGAACCGCACACTTTCAGCGTTGTTAAGGGCGACCATTGGAAAGCATATGAAGAATTGGCTAGAGTGTATTCCCTTCATTGAGTTCGCCTACAACAGAGCTCAACATTCAGCCACCAAGATGTCACCATTTGAGGTCGTATACGGTTTCAATCCTACCACTCCTCTTGATCAAACTCCTTTACCTCCAGCAGAAGCGGTCAGTCTAGTCGGCGAGGAGAAAGCTAAGTTCATCAAGAAGCTACATCAGAAAGCTCGAGAAAACCTAGAGAAGAGGACGAAGCAATACACAAAACAAGCCAACAAAGGAAGAAAAGAAATGGTGTTTCAACCGGGAGAATGGGTTTGGCTACACATGAGGAAAGAAAAATTCCCCGACCAAAGAAGCTCGAAGCTCAAACCAAGAGGAGACGGTCCATTCAAAGTCTTAGAAAGAATCAACAACAACGCCTACCGCCTTGAGCTACCAGGTGAGTTAAACGTATCCTCTACTTTCAATGTAACTGATTTAGCTCCTTTCCTTGCAGATGAAAACATTTTGGGGTCAAAATCTATTCAAGAGGGAGGGAATGATGAGGACATCTCAACCGAACCTGACTTAACCGAACCTGACATGCAAGAAGTGGATATACCGGTTCCAAACAAGGGCGTTATCACAAGACAACGGGCTCGTGCGCTTCAAGACAAGTATAACCAAGCTATTTCACAAGCCATGTCCGAGTCTAATCAAGAAAGCCCATCAAAAGCTGCATGGAACGTTACAAGGGATATCTTAGAAGCTGCGGACCCAACAAAGGTACAAGAAAGCTGGCCCTTAATATCAAACAAAGCCCATGCCAATATCTTTGTTATCTCTACACTTGAGAAGCACACTTAGAAATCAAGGATCACGGTCAAAGGGAAACTACATTGCACTTATTCACGCCTGAACCAAAGAAGGTAAGTCTTTGTTTCGATTAATTCATATTATTACTATTGATTAACCTTTTATGTTTTCTCCTTGTGATTAATTTCTAGCCAGCCAATGATTTTTTTTTTTTTAATTAGTTAAGGCATTGTTAGCCAATAATTTCGCATTTTTCATTCCAATAATGTTGTTTTTCAATAAGTGTAATTTGCTTCAAGTCCCCTAGAAGGGCAAAGCTGTTCGGACCACCTTATAAGGTCCCCTCTTACAGCCGTGTATCTTTACCTTGATTTTAATAAAGAACCGAATTTTCTTTCACAAAGTTTGCAATCAAAACTTGTGTTATTCTTCTTTGAATTTTGTGGAGACCAGCCCTCCAAAACCAAAGAGAAACTGTGTTGTATCAAAGGTCCTCTCATCACCTTTGTGGTACACTTCGATCCAACGGCCATCCCATTTGGTCAGTCATATCATACCACCGTACCAGTCCATCGTCACGCCCTCGTACCACCATCGTCCCACATTACGACGCCATCGTCTCGCATTACGATACCCTCATCACGCGTCGTACCAGCCGTCCCACTCATTACGTCCTACTCGTACCGTCCCTCATCTCGCCTCGTACCGACCATCACATTCTCGTCCCATCCCCAAACCCTTGACTCCCTAGCCTGAGTTTCTCGGCTGTCTGGTCAAGTTCTTGTCCTATTCCTTAAAACCATCTGGTGCTTGTATCACCTCCCCTCCTCGGCACACCTGACAAACTCCTGAACTACTCAGATGTCGTCGTTGTCGTTCCATGTTGGTCATGATTACTTGATGAATCACTAGCAATAGAAACACTCTTACCCTCTCCGGTGCTATTACTTGCCAGATTCGAGTAAACAGAGCCTCCATATTCTGCCTCGGTGAATGGTTTTTGGTCAATAAGGCGTATGCTGACTTCACTGTGAAGGACCCATTCTGACTCTCACCCCATGATATTCTATCCTTGATCCCTGTTATGTCATCTAAAACCACTGCTCTCAAGCGTAGCTTCGTATCTGTACCCAGATAGTTATCTACCTGATGCAGTAACTAACCCAAGCCATTTCTCCAAAAATCGCGGACTCGTAGATGCACTATTGGTTCAGGAACCACTCCCTCTACTATCTCCAGAAGCAGAGTATCTAAAAGCCATTTATCCTTCCAGAAATGGACTTGACGACCATCCCCGACAATCCAATTCAAACCTAACATCACCACGTCTCTGATTCCTGTGGTTATGCTCCGCCAAGTGCTTGAAGCACCACCCTTCGCAACCATCCAAGTGCTTGAAGCACCACCCTTCGCAACCATCCAAGTGTTCTCCTGCAGCTCTACGACATTATATTTATGGCGCAATACCTGAGCCCACAGGCTCGTTAATGAAAACATTTATAATGCAAACACAAACCATTTTGAGTAGCTGTACCAACTCTATACGGTAAAATAAAGGAGTACCAACATTTTCACAAACTTTAACAAGCACACACTAGCTTAGGGCTGACGATCTGAAACGTTGAACGAAACCATACCGTGACAATTTACAATTAAATTATTTGGGACCAGAGGTTGTCTCTTTCAGAGTTTGAGAGCCCAGACGCAAGGCCACGACATTCGAAATCCTCATCCAATCCCTTCACGAATTAATAAATTTCTTTCCATTCGATAGTACCCAACAATTAAAACCTCACCACACAAAAAAAAATATAAATATAAAAGTTTCTTGATTCCCCAATTAAACCCTCATCCTCGTTATCCTTCTTCTAGGGACCAAATAGACGCAAACTCATGGCGGCTGAATATTCCGGTAGCCGGAGTTCTAATACACAGCTTCTCGCTGAACTCGAAGCCCTAAGTGAAAATCTTTACCAGAAACCCCAGGCTTCAGTTGGTCGGAGAACTAATTCACTCGCTCTGCCTCGCAGTTCTGTTCCGTCCCTCGTGACGTGTGCCAATGAAGGACGAGTCGAGGATGTAACAATACCGAAACCGCGGTCTCGGCGTTTGTCGCTGTCACCATGGCGGTCAAGACCGAAGCTTGAGGTAGAAGAGGAAGAGACTGTGAATACGACTCGGAACAGAATCAACAAGAGACCAGAAGAGTCGTCATTGGGATCAATTGCGAAGGAAGAGAGAAAAGGGATATGGAATTGGAAACCGATTCGCGGGCTGGTCCGAATTGGAATGCAGAAACTGAGCTGTTTGTTATCGGTCGAGGTCGTGGCGGCCCAGAATCTACCGGCGTCGATGAACGGTCTACGCCTTGGTGTTTGCGTGAGGAAGAAGGAAACAAAAGACGGAGCCGTCCAGACGATGCCGTGTCGGGTTTCTCAAGGAGCTGCGGATTTCGAGGAGACGCTGTTCATCAAGTGCCACGTGTACTTCTCGCCGGCTAACGGGAAGGGTGCTCCGGCGAAGTTCGAGGCTCGTCCGTTTTTGGTTTATCTATTCGCCGTGGACGCTAAGGAGCTTGAGTTCGGAAGGCACATGGTTGATCTGAGTGAGTTGATTCAAAAGTCTGTGGAGAAGATGAGTTACGAAGGAGCTAGGGTTAGGCAATGGGATATGAGTTGGGGGCTTTCAGGTAAAGCTAAAGGAGGTGAATTGGTTCTAAAATTAGGGTTTCAGATCATGGAGAAAGACGGTGGAGCTGGGATTTACAGTAAACAAGGTGAATTAGGGATTAAACCGAGTAGTAAACCTAAGAATTTGTCTGATTCCTTTGGGCGAAAGCAATCAAAAACTTCGTTTAGTGTCCCAAGCCCTAAGATGACGAGCCGCAGCGAGGCCTGGACGCCAGCGACAGGTGCGGAATCTGCATCGGGCCTTCAAGGGATTGAGCATTTGAATCTTGATGAACCAGAGGAGAAACCGGAGCAGAAACCAGAGAAAACAGAACAGAGAGATGAAGATGATCAAGAAACTGATTTCGAAGTTATTGAAAAAGGAGAAGATCAGGAACCTGATTTTGAAGTTGTGGACAAAGGAGTTGAGTTTGATGACGACATTGAGACTGAGAAATCCGATGGAACCATTGGTGAAAGATCCATTGAGTTGAAGGAACAGCATGTTAATGTTGATGATCCACGGCACATAATGAGACTAACCGAGTTAGATTGTATTGCAAAGCAGATCAAAGCGCTTGAATCTATGATGAAAGACGGTAGTAACGGAGCGGAAGGTGAAACAGGGTCACAGAGACTGGATGAAGAGGAACAGACTGTGACAAAGGAGTTTCTTCAGTTGCTTGAAGATGAAGAATCCGAGAGTCTCAAATTCTACCAGCATAAAATGGAGATCTCTGAGCTACGCTCTGGCGATTCAGTAGAAGATGAAACTGAAAATTACCTATCAGATCTCGGTAAAGGCATCGGTTGCGTTGTTCAGACGAGAGATGGTGGTTACTTAGTGTCTATGAACCCTTTTGACATGGTGGTCATGAGGAAAGACACTCCTAAAGTCGTTATGCAAATCTCGAAACAGATTGTGGTATTACCAGAAGCCGGATCAGTGACTGGATTCGAGTTGTTTCACAGAATGGCTGGTTTTGGTAAAGAACTTGATTCGAAGATATCTTCGCTTATGGCGATAGACGAGTTAATAGGGAAGACAGGGGAGCAAGTGGCTTTTGAAGGAATAGCTTCAGCTATTATACAAGGGAGAAACAAAGAGCGAGCGAACACAAGCGCGGCAAGAACGGTTGCAGCTGTTAAAACGATGGCTAACGCGATGAACAACGGGAGAAGGGAGAGGATAATGACAGGAATCTGGAATGTGGAGGAGAATCCATTGACTTCAGCAGAGGAGATTTTAGCTGTTTCTTTACAGAAACTAGAAGATATGGTGATTGAAGGACTAAAGATTCAAGCTGATATGGTGGAGGACGATTCTCCTTTCGAGGTTTTCGCCGCCAAAGGTCAGCCGAATCCATTGGAGTTGACCATCCCGCTCGATGAGTGGCTCATGGAGAATCGGACGCAAAAATCGCTGACGGTTTTAGCGACAGTGCAACTCCGAGACCCGACGAGGAGATATGAGGCAGTGGGAGGGGTGGTCGTGGTGGCGGTGCAGGCGGAAGAGGAGGAGAACGGGTTAAAAGTGGGAAGTTTGCACGTTGGGGGAGTGAAGAGAAATGCAGCGGAGAGGCGGAGGTTGACGGCGGCACAGTGGCTTGTTGAGTACGGAATGGGAAAGAAAGGGATGAAGAAGAGTGATGTTAAGAGAAAGGAGAAAGAAGAAGAAGAGGTAGACTTGTTATGGAGCTTGTCGTCTAGAGTTATGGCGGATATGTGGCTCAAATCTATAAGGAACCCTGATGTGAAGTTGCATAGCTGAGGTTAAGATATTCACTTTAAACAATAATATGGGTTTGTTTATAAAGTTTGTGTATATTATTATTTTTGTTCTTCAAAAAGAAATTTAAGTTTTTTTTTTATGTATTAGCTCGTCTCTTGAAAACTCCTAACACGTCTCTAAAGATGATTTCTCTGTCAACAAATTTTCAAATGAATTTGAGTGCGCAGTGACAGTCATTACAAACGCTTAGGTTTCGAACCACTCTAATTTTCAATAATATCCATTCTTGTAATGATAATAATTTGCTCATTTCTGATGCTCACCAATAATATCTATTTTAGAATGATAGAAATTATCTCGTCTTTCATTAACAATCTCCATTTTAGAAATGATGAAACCTCTCAAGATGATTTCTCTATCAATAATCTTTGAACTGACTTTGGTTACAAGATGAGACCTAGATCTTGCATTGTAAACTGGCCGAATTCATCCCAAAACCCTTGTCCTTATTAAGCATTGTAAGATTTAAAACCAGAAAAAGAAATTGGCTAAAAAATTAATAGTCTACAAAATTTAGAAGCATATCTAAAATGACTTAAAATAACTTAAAAGACATGCTTCTAAATTTTCAAGAAGCCGGGTTCTAAAAATGTGCCAAATCAGTTTCGATCTAAGTCAATAGATGAAATAACTGAAAACTAGGAGTAAATGACTTCAATATTGACGATTGAGAGTGTTTACCAAAATAATGACATGTAGAACACTAGAACCTCACCATTTAGGAGCATTGGAGATATCTAAGTCAGGTTCCACAATTTAGCTAAAGCTACAACGAGAAGAGTTTTCACTGTAGCCATCTTTTTTTGTTTTCGCCATCTTAGCTACTGGTGAAAACGTGTCTATAAAATCCAGCACTTATCCTTAAGCAACCAAACGGGTTATATATCTTTCTAGGCTGTCATCAAGATTGAGCTTAACTTTATAAACCCATTTGCATCTATTTGGTCGTTTGTCAGGTTATAGAGAACATATGATACAAGTATGATTGTTTTCCAAAGCCATGAACTTCATTCATGGCTTTTAACCATATATCAAATTTCTTTGCATGTGTAAAAGAGCTCGGTTCTGGATGAAGTATCATTGAACATATATAAGCTATATACTCATCCGAGAGCTTTTCATAGGACATATAAGTGATACAAGAGTTTTGAGTATCTTTCGCTATCACCCAACTTGTACTAATTAGTTGTAGTATAGCATATGGTTTTTATCAATCCAAAAAAGTTATGAATATATGTCAATAGAATTATGAGCAGAAAGCCTTATGTCAAGTGAATTCAAAGAAGAAGTGTTGCTTAGCAACTAAATTATCAACCTAAGTGAACCAAAAACCAAGCATAATCTAAAAGAGAACAACTTAGCAATGATTCATGCAAAACAGAGCAACAAAAACAGAGCAATAAGGCAAATTCGAAATTCAAATAAGAGAAAGCAAGTTCCTAGATGTGGTTATTTATTTTGAGGAATTCAAAGGCAAGACAAGGCTGTTTCAAACATCATTGACAATGCACACAAGCAAGCAATGCTAATTCCTAGGCATAGAGTTCACAATCAAGCAAGTTAAGTTCAATCTCTTGACAAATAACCCTTTGCTAATCATCCTAACAAAAACTAACTCTCATTAGTGCTAGAACAATCAATAAGCATGCAAAACCAACTCTATTCAAGCCAAAATACTTCTTAGACAGTCAATCTCTTGAGCTAAGACCAGTAAATCCTCTATCAAACAAGACCAGCATTTCATCAAACACTTGGTGGGCATAGGATGTAGCCTAAATCAGATTCATGTGATCAAGATATATCTAGCCTAAATAAGATTAACAGAGAGGAATCAACCTAATTAAACACTATCAAATCCTAATCAAGTCTTTAAATTCCCCTAATCTACCACATTTAAGAACCCTAAAAGGACTACTCACTCATCATCATGGAAAACATCAAATCACAAGAGGAAAAGATGTTAAACATGATTAAGAGGGAGATTATCTAAGATTTAATGATGCATATACAAAACTTTAGATTAAAAAGAAGATCTTGTCTTACAAAGATGAAAGAACACTTAAGAAACTAAGCAAGATCAAGACTTGGCTAAAAACCATTAGTCCAAGCCTATTTTTACTAAATGACAAAACCCTAAAGCAATAGAAAAGTTGTAATTAAAAGAAGTTCGGATTAGGCTCACATCGATCACATGTGATCGATGTGCTTGATCGATGCTGGTCTTCTGGTGCCTGACATCGATTAGATAATGATCGATGCTCTTGATCGATGCAGTCTTCAAAGCTCTCGGGTCAAATGCATCGATCAGTCTTAGTCGATGTGCTTGATCGATGTGGTAGTCCTGTAACTTGAAAAGTGATCGATGTGGACTTCCCAACTCTCGGCTGCTTTATATCGACCACTCCTGATCGATGCGGTTTGTGCCTTGATCGATGTTGCACCAGAAATTTTCTTCCTGAACTCCTTTTGTTCCTCCTCAGCTTGGGCAACTCCTTGAATCATCCCCATGCTTCCTCCTTGCTCCAAATAGCTCCTTAGGTACCTAAAAACATCCTTAATGCAAAGAGAATGCAAACTACAACCTAAATGCAACCTAAGTCTTAAAGGAAAGGAAAATGAGACTAAAGAGAAGGAAAACATGCAAAAAGGAAACTAAAACATGAACTAAATGCAAGCCTAAATGATGTAAATGCAAGAGATATCAACACCCCCACACTTTCCTTTTGCTTGCCCTCAAGCAATTAAACTAAGACAAATGGAGGATGAGGTTTACAGGTGGACCCACAAATAAAAAAATGCTATGGTAAAGAAGTGAAGCCAATGTCTAAGTGCCTGAGTGTAAGATGCAAAACACAATCAGTTATACTTCAAAAAACTTAGCCATGCTCATCATCTTTCAAAATGATCTCAAATCTCAACCTAGATAAGTGCCAAATCAATCAACTCTTTAACATTCATTAAACTTGTAACCATGAATCAAGTTTGTGCAAATCAGGTGAAAACATTTGGTTGATCATTTTTGTTGGGGCTTTCTCTTCTTTTGTTGATTAGGCGCCATTTTTCACCTTTGGTGGATTGCATTGGGTCTGATTTCTTCTTTTGAATGACCTTTCAAAGCCTTGCTCTTTTTGGCGCCTCCATACTTTAAACACTTAGGGCTTTTCTTCCCTTTACTTAACCACAATTTTAACTCAATTTCCCCATACTACCATCCCATACTTCTTTTTCTTCTTAAAAAGATATAAACATGAAGTTCAAACCAATTAACACTACCCTTTTATCCCAAACTCCTAACCTAGAATCAAGCTCAGAATGCAAGCTGATATCTACAAGAGAGCTTCTCCTTGCCAGCCTTAATCCTAACACTTTTTGCCAAGATAAAATTCGAAAATTATGAATGCAAGACCTCACAACTTTCACAAATGGTGTTTAGGCTCAAAAAGGAGGGTTAGTTAAGGGAGTGGATCAACTGTCCCATAAGTATGAGGATCAGCTATTTGGATCAACAAGAGTGGTAAGAAGGAACAAGATGATCCAAATATGTATATGGTAGCCATGAATTCACTTTTCAATGCACAAACATGATAATTAAAAACCAGATTAAGGTTCAAATAGATACAATTGATTTCAATGAATAAGTGGTTTCAGTATGAGATGATAGCATCAAGTTTAGCAATTCAAACATGGTTAAGCCTTAACTTCTAACTTTCTCATGATGCATCAAACAATTAACCACTTAGACATTTAAATCAATCCTAAACGCTTAGCGTTTTACAAGGAAAATTCATCATCATGCCCTACGCAAATGCAATGCAGCCTATATGCAAACGCTAGACTCAATCTTAAAAAAATGAAATGCAACTATATGCTCTCTTTTTGGTTCGAAAAACATGCAAAACTTTCCACATTTTTTGATTTTTTGTGTTTTTCTATGCACTTACATGTATGCATGAGATGCATGAGACTCAAAGATGGAAGAAATGAAAAACTAAGAAAAGAACAAACAATGTCAAACCCCAAATCTCTCCCCCACACATAAATTACACAATCCCTTGTGTAATAAAAGAGTGAGAGAGAGCAACAATAATATATTACAATAACTAAAAAAAAATGCAATGGTATATACAATGGTAAGGATATGGTACCTTAGTTGGGGTGGGAGGAATGGTGGGATGAGTAGGAGAGTTCATCAGTCTCTCCTGGATCTATGAAGGATCCTGATGTTGCTGGTTGTGGAGACTGAGTTGCCCTTCTCTTGTTCCTCCTCCTCTCTTGTGAAGAAGATGCTGTTTGAGGTGGAGGTACCCAACTAGGCCAATGTGCTTGCACTTGAGTTAGGTTGCCTTGAGCATCACACTCCTGCCAAGTTGATATATCATGGTTTTTATGGTTTTTATGGTTTTTAACCATGATATAAGTCCTTTTTATTGAGTCTTTTTGGTCTTTTTAGAGTCCTAGAAGAGTCTTTACAGGGTATAGCATGTCTGGAGCATAATTGGAGATTTTGGAACCTTTTGGAGCATTCTGAGTGGAAGCCACGAAGTACCAAGCTCGAAGCAGAAAAGTATCGCATATGGTGACGCTCGTCACCACCTTTGGTGACGCTCGTCACCCATTAAGGAAGGAGCGAGGCTGTTTTATTAAAAGTATCAAGAAGATTTGCAGAATTGGCCCAGAAGTTTCCTTTATTTACATGAAGACCCCAGATCGTGTTTAGCTTCTATTTATTAGGTTTTTCAGCCATTGTTGGCAATTATCTTAGTTTTTGAGAATTCAGAGAGCTTAGAGAGAGATTTATTCAGAGCTTTTTGGGGAGACAAATCCTGTACTCTTTTGAGAAGATTTCGAACCCCTTTATTTCTTACTCTTTCTCTTAATGCAATTTTATTCAGTTATGTTTTGTGATCTCATAATCATGTATGAGTAATCTGCTAGTTAAGTTAGGGTTTTTCAAAGGTTGATGAAAAGAGTGTAGAATC